AGCAGTTATTTCCCATTCATTATTTTTGTAAAAACAAAATATAAAGTTTGCACTTACCAAGTATCACCCAAAAGAGGCCATAATAAGAATTCCCAGACACTTTATATGGGATGGATCACAAGGTGGGTCAGTCTTTTGATAGCCTTTCCTTCAGTCTCTGCTTCACACTGTCTCCATATTTTCTCCTGTGAGTGTTTAGTTCCCCCTTCTAAGTAGTACCGAAGCATTCACACTTTGTTCTACCTTCTTCTTGAGCTTCATATGGTCTGTGAATTGTATCTTGGGTATTCTCAGCTTTGGGGCTAATATTCACTTATCAGTGAGTGCATTCCATGTGTGTTCTTTTGTGATTGAGTTAGCTCACTCAGGATGGTATTTTCAAGTTCCATCCATTTGCCTAAGAATTTCACAAAGTCATTGTTTTAAATAGGTGAGTATTGCTCTGTTGAAGGACATCTGGGTTCTTTCCAGCTTCTGGCTATTATAAATGAGGGTGCTAAGAACATAGTGGAGCATATGTCCTTGTTATATGTTGGAACATCTTTCAGGTATATGCTCAGAAGTAGTATAGCTGGGTCCACAGGTAATATTGTGTCCAATTTTCTGAGAAACTGCCAGACTGATTTCTAGAGTGGTTGTACAAGCTTACAATTCTACCAACAATAGAGGAGCATTCCTCGTTGTCCACATCCTCTCTAGCATCTGCTGTCACCTGAATTTTTGATCTTAGCCATTCTGACTGATATGAGGTGGAATATCAGGGTTGCTTTGATTTGCATTTCCCTGCTGACTAAGGATGTTGGACATTTCTTTAGATACTTCTGAGCCATTCAGTATTCCTCAATTGAGAATTCTTTGTATAGCTCTGTACTCCATTTTTTAATAGAGTTATTTTATTCTCTGGAGTCTAACGTTTTGAATTCTTTGTATATATTGGATATTAGCCTTCTATCAGATGTAGGACTGGTAGTGACATTTTCCCAATCTGTTGGTTGCCATTTTGTCCTATGATAGAATCCTTTGCCTTATAGAAGCTTTGTAATTTTATGAGATCTCATTTGTCTTTTGTTGATCTTAGAACATAAGCCATCAAACCCAGACACTATTGTGGATGCCAAAAAGTGCTTGCTGACAGGAGCCTGATACAGCTGTCTCCTGAGAGGCTGTGCCAGAGCCTGACAAATACAGAGGTGGATGCTCATAGCCAACCATTAGGCTGAGCTCGGGGTTCTCAATGGAGGACTTAGAGAAAGGATTAAAGGAGCTGAAGTACTTTGCAACCCCATAAGAAGAACAACAATAACAGCCAACCAGGCCCCCAGATCTCCCAGGGACTAAACTACCAACCAAAGAGTACACATGGAGGGACCCGTGGCTACAGCTACATATGTAGCAGAGGATGGCCTTGTCTGACATCAATGGGAGGAGAGGCCCTTGGTCCTGTGAAGGCTTAATTCCCTAATGTAGGAGAATGCTAAGGAATGGGTGGGTGGGGGAACACCTTCATAGAAGTAGGGGGAGAGAAGATGGGATGAAGGTTTCTTGGGGAGGGGAACCAGGAAAGGGACTAACATTTGAAATGTAAATAAAGAAAATATCAATAAATAAAGAAAAGAAAATAGAATATTACTGTGAGTGCTGTTATTTAATAAGCAATTCACAGTGTGCCTCAAACTTTGAATAAAAATAAGAATTCCCAGATACTTTGTTGAGTTTTCAATCAGCACAGCTTTCAAAATTATAATTATTTTAGAGAAATGTCATAATTCTGAAAATTTACATAGTGTTTTTACAAACTTTCATCCACATGCCACTTCCCCATTGTGATAGTTTGATGAAAATGGTCCCCAGATGCTTGTATATTTGAGAGGTTTGTTACCAGTTAATGCAACTACTGGGGAGAGATTATAAGCTATAACTTTATTGGGAGCTATTGTGTCACTGGGAGTGGACTCTGAAGTTGCAAAAGCCATTGCCAGGTCTAGTGTCTATTTTTCTGCCTTTGGATCAGGATAAAAATCAGTCTCTTACTGTTCCAATACCATGCCTCTCTGATACATGCTATTATAACCATGGAGTAACTCTCTAAAAATGAAAGGAAGCCCCTAGTTAGATACTCTCTTTTATAAGATTTGCCTTGGTCCTGATCTCTTTTCACAACTATAGAACACTACTAAAACACCACTACTAATTGGTTGTATTTGTATAATACATTTTTTATTTGAACTAATAATGGTTAATAATAATTTACTAAAACTTGCATTCTACAGAGTTGTTTGCATTTTTTGTTTTTCTGTTTTAGTTTGTTTGTTTACCTTTCTCGTTTGATTTGAAAATTGTGTAGAAATATTTATCTACAGTTACAGCATAATATGCAATGTATTTTCTTCCCTACAGTCCATTTTGCCCAATTTATTCATGCCTCTTTCTCTCTATTCTAAGGTATTAGAGACTACTCTTCATTTTTATTAGCTTTATTATTTGGTAGGTTTTGGATATAATATAGCTAAACCCAAAACTTTTAAACTGGCTTCTATTAAACTGTCTTGCAGACAAACTTAGCAGATACTGGTTAAACTGGTCATACATATTCTCTGTAATCCAAAACTCTCTGTCTGTACAGTTTACAGGATCTCCTACATTTAACCTCCAAATACACATAGAGGAATATTTGCAGTAGCATTGTTTAAAGAAAAAATTCAGCCACTGTGTCATAGTTACATTTCTATTATTATGATAAAAACACTGTGACCAAATCTACTTGTAAAGGAAAGTTTATTTGTGAGTTATAGTTTCAAACATGTAAACTATGATGGCAAGGAGCATGAAGGCAGGCAAGCACAACAATGAAGCAACAGCTGAGAGCTTATATACCTTATTCACAAGCAAGAAACAGAGAGCAACACTGGAAATGGTGTAGGCTTTTGAAAGCTCAAAACTTGCCCACAGTGACTGACCTCCTTGAACATGGATGGCTACATTTCGTAATGCTTCCTCAACAGTTACACAAACTATGAACCAATATTTGAATATATGAGCCTATAAGAGCCATGCTCACTCAATTCACCAAGCACTGAAAGCAAAAATAGTCTTTTTCTCTTGCAGTATAATACGAGTATATAAAGAATTTTTTTCAGAGCCAATAGCACAAAACAAAATCGAAGTGTAAGAAGAATAAATATAGTCATTTCTCTCATAAAACAAAACACTAGACCAGGTAAATTTGAACAATCTACAATACATGCAGAACTGTTACAACTCTAAGGAAAATATTAAAAATAGTCAACACACTGGTTAACTTCAAGAGATAATATGATACCACTGAGGAGAGACCAACAGAACATCAACAACACTGACAGTTTTCTACTATTTAAGTCTAGAAATTAATGTGTATTTTGTTTAATCTTATTGCTAAGACGTTATAGGTATATGACATATACCTTATAGGCTCATATATTTGAATATTGGTCCATAGTTGACGTAGTTGACTATTATATTATAAATGTATAATACAGCACACATATCTAACACATGTATAGAAATGCACAATGTTATTTCTAATGTTCTAAATAGTCTAATGACTGTATAAAATATTGCTTGTTTTAAAAATAATAAGTAGCAGAAATTTGACGCATTTGCAGACATGCACACACTCTCACTAGCTGAAGTTCTGCTAAATGCTAGCTGGGCAGCATTTCAGGAGGCATTAAACTCTCTTCTGATACTTTGTCTATATATCTGTGATACCATCAACTACTCTCAACTGAATTAAATCCCTGTGCTTCCACAGAGAATGATTATCATGGACCAAAGGCAAAATCACTTCATGGGATGTGACATTAAGCAAGAAGCTGTCTTTCTCTTTTTCAGAATAAAATATATTTGAATTAAACTTCTCTTCAGATCTCCTTGAACTTAATTGAAGAATTTGATATTTCCTGGTGTCCATCTCGCCACTCTTCATCACCCATTCAGAAGAGCAGAGTCTCCTTAGATTCTGCACATAACCAGAGCACCCCTGACCCTAGAGGCTCATGCTTCAGTTCACTCCAACTTACCAGGACATTCATGCTCTACACAGGGCTTGTCCTTATCCTTGTTTATATGTGTTTACAGAGTACAGTGTATTTTTACTTTAGTTAGTGACCAGGACCAAACACTTCTCAAAAACAAATTAGGTACTAACACACATACAAATTATTAAAAAAATTACAAAAATAGATAAGATTAGAGATAAAATAAGAAACAAACATGGGCATAGGTTGCTCAGTAGATACCAAACTATGGTAAGAAAAACAGAAGTTTTCATAGTTTTCACTGTGCAGTAATTACAAATACTATATAGTATTCCAAAGACTAGAATAAAGAGTTTATTACTAAGGCATGGTAAATATTTGAGTAAATTAATATATTTTCTTTGATGATGATATCATGCACTATTTACATGTATGAAAACATTACATCATACTCAATAGAATTCTGTCACTTTTGAGTGTCAACTACAAAAATTAAAAGATAATTATAAAGGACAGAAAGGATGGCTCAGCAAGAGCATTGACTGATCTCCCACAGGGCCAAGATTTTATTTCCTTCATCCCTATAATAGCTCACAACCATCTGTAAGCCCAATCTCAGAGGATCTGACACCCTCTTCTAATTTTTTCAGGCAATAAGCACATAAATAATACACAGGCACACATATAGGCAGTGAATGAATACACTAAATTAAACAAGTAAATGTGATGAGAGCTACTTCCAAAAATTAGAGCATGTTATAAGATGAAAGATAACAACAAATAATGAATCTAAGAGAAGAATGAGTTTTGTGAGCAAGCTTGCCAAGATGCTGAATATCAGTAAGATAGTAAAATAGATAAGAAAACTGTGACAGAAGTGATTGAAGGAAAGAGAGCCATGTGAAATTTACCTGAAAGAACAAATGATGAATGGAGAAAAGGAGAAGGAAGTATGGATGCTAACAAGGAAGACCATGCCCATCACTATGCACACAGTTTCCTGCTGAGGATGTTTCTCAGCGCTCCTTTCATATCCCGATTCCTCAAACTATAAATAAAGGGATTCATCATGGGTATGATCACAGTGTACATCAAAGCCACAATGGCATCCTTGTCATTAATGCTATTAGATGAGGGCAAAAAATATAGTCCAATAATGGCTCCATAGTACAAGGAAACGACACAGAGGTGAGAGCCACATGTGGACAAGGCTTTGCAGATTCCCCTGACTGAAGGAGTTCTCAGAATGGTGGCTCCAATGTGGCCATAAGAGACCAGAATGCATATGAATGGCAGAGTGATGACCACATTACCCAGAACAAGGATGACCAGCTCATTGATGGTGGTGTCTGAGTTGGATAGCTTCAGCAAGGTAGACAGGTCACAGAAGTAGTGAGGGATGATATTGTGTCTAAAGTGAGATAGTTGAGCCAAGAGAAGGGTGTGCACAAGGGAATTAGCAGTAGATAAGGCCCAGGACACAACTACTAGAAGAACACAGAGGTTCTCACTCATAATTTGTGAATAGTACAGAGGGTGGCAGATGGCCACATACCTGTCATAGGCCATTGAGGTCAGAAGAAAGCTCTCAAGATCAGCAAAAAATGAAAAGAAATATACTTGAGTAATGCACCCAGCATATGAGATGGATTGACTGTGTGTCAGCATATTCATGACCATTTTTGGAGCTGTGACTGACGAGAAAGAGATGTCTGTGAAGGCCAAGTGGCTGAGGAAGAAGTACATGGGGGTGTGGAGGTGAGAGTCCAGCCTGATGAGCAGGATGATGAGCAGGTTCCCTAGCACTGTGGTCAGGTACATGGCCAGGAACAGTGCAGAGTACATGCCTTGGTCCTCTGCCTGAATAGGGAGCCCCAGGAGGATAAACTCAGACACAGTGCTCTCATTATCTCTCCTCATGCTCTTGCTCTTCTGCTGGGAGTGAAAAGAAGAAATGGTAAAGAGAAGTGAATTTAACTATTACATTGTAGAAATATTTTATGAATCATGAGAACTGAAAATAACATTAGCTTAAACTATTTAGTATATCTGGTTTAACCTTAATATGAAGATATTTGTTACAGTAATATGCTAGTGATGGTTAGCAAGGGATATAACTTGGAAACAACAAAATATGTTTTAGAAGGAAATAACAAGTGATAACAATTATCAGATGAAACCTGATTCCAGATCAAGATGTCTGGATTTTACCAAGAAAATATTGTTAAGAAATTAGCATATAAATTGAAAATAGCCAATAGAAAATTCAACAGAATTTCAATGATTTTATGTATTTTAAGCTTTATTGAATGCAGCTGCCCAATGGTATGTTCCCATCAATTAAATCCAGATAGTGGTAGCCATGGAGCTATATTAGATCTGTGAGATACCAGGATCTGGGGAATTACTGAAAGCAGGATGTGCAGATGTTCAAAGCATTAAGAGCATGAATCTGGGACAATAATATAAAATACTTATACCAACTTGCAAGGAGCTATGAGTTCTTGCCCTAACATCAGCCAAAGAAATACCTTGTGTTTTTTCTAGCAAAAGCAAATGTCACATTTTACACTTAACCTGGGGTTTTTAAGCCAAAGACTGTGACCTATGCATTTACAGCATTTTTATCTGTTGCTAACCTGGCATTTCTCTCCTTTTCCATCAATCATGCCCTACCTGTGTGAGCAATCACAAAACAACAGGAAACAGAATGGGATAAAGTTAGAGATGTCAACCTAGCAGCTGAAAGAGCTCTGTGGTTATATTCTATTTGAAGACTTGTTTAGTGGCTAGTTTGTCCCCATGACTGACAGACACCTATTTGCTTCTTCACTCTTTCCAAGCTTAAACTAGAGTTAATGTATGAATTCTCCCAACTTAGTAAAGACCATGTTTAAAGTGCCTATCCTTCATCCACTTCAATCTGTAAAAAGAAAGTTCAGTTAATGTGACATTGCATTAAATTAATTATACTACTTTTTTTTACTTATTTCTGTGTTCGTAGTAATTACTTTATCACATGAAAATGCTGATTATTTATCTGTATATGGGTAGACTGTTTCTAATATTTTTTATATTTTGACCAGTATTGCAATAAGCAGTATTATTTTTATGTCATTTTAGATACTATATATGATATATTCAGAAAAAATGAGTTTAGACAAATAAGCACCCATGGTTTTACAAAACTGTCAAGTCATAAGAAGCCAAGATAATGAAAAAGCTTATATGTGTTCTATGAAAAGTCTTTAGTGGAAGAGGCTACATAAGAATATTGTCAACATGGGTCTCTAGGTAACTGTTTGGAAGTATATTGCTAGGGGCTTTGAAAAACAAGGGAAACCCAAGGCAATAACCAGTCATAGAAATGTAAATGTTGGAGAACATAAGAGAAGCATGCAGATATCATGTTTAATTTGCTATTATAAAAAGTTTCCACATGTTTAAGAACTGTAACACACACCCCCTTGCAAAAAAAAGTATTGAAGTATACTAATGGATAAGCAAGAATACTAGCTGGAATGTGAACATCAGGAGTAATTATGGAAAAATCACAGAAATTTGGGAAGAAGTTAGACTAAAACACAATAGATATTGTACCTAAATTAAATGTGAGCAGAAAGGATTATTTTCCTGCTTTCTTAAAAAAATGGATAAGTTTAAGGAACATATTCTATGGAACATTTTGAGGGGGTATATCCTTTTATCTCAAAGTGTAGGCAGGTTCTCAGTGCAAGGTAAATTACTGCATAGGGAACTGTATGCCAGTTCATGGTATGATTGTTGAGATGGGAAATACATGCTGAACAAAGAGATGGAGAATAAGAAAGACAGACAGACACAGACAGATACATAGGGATCCCTAAACAAGAGAATTGCAGTTAACTTTAGCAAAAAAGCATGGGAAAGCTCTTCAATTTCTCTCTAGAAGAAACAGCTGGATCACCTGAAGCAGTCATTTATCCATTGCAACAAATAGAAGAGTAATGAGTTCAGAATCAGATATGATAGATATGTGAACATATACACTGTCTACATATACTGAGAAGTCCATGTGAGCTCTAACTTTGAAAATCATGTGGAGTACCTAGGGTGTCCTCTCTGTCCCCAGATCCAAATTAGAGGCATACAGGATAAAATTGTTTTATTGTCATTGTCTCCCTTAGGAAAAGAACTTTTTTTCAAGCAGGTATGAGAGTCCCTTTACCCTTGAGAACTGACAGTAGCAATCATAACAAGATTCGTCAACATTTTGTCCTGTTTAAAACATGATCTCTGTGAGCGAGTGAAAATTCCCAGTTCAAACGACCCAAAAATGTTAACAAAATCATAGAGGAAAATTTCCTCAACCTAAAGAAAGAGATAGCCATATATGTAAAAGAAATCTATAGAGCACGAAATAGATTGGAACACACACAAAAAATTCTCTTCTCATATAATAATCAAAACACCAGATACATAAAACAAAGAAAGAATATTAAAAGCTGTAAGAGAAAAAGGCCAAGTAACATATAAAGGCAGACATATCATAATTATACCAGACTTCTCACCAGAGACTCTAAAAGCCAGAAGCGCCTGGACAGAGGTCATGCATTATCTAAGAGAACACAAATGCCACTATACTAAGCTACTATACCCTGCAAAACTCTCAATCATCATAGATGGAAAAGACAAAATATTCCATGAAAAATCAAATTTAAACAAAATCTATCTACCAATTCATTCTTACAGAGAAGATTCTAGAAGGAAAACTTCAATAAAACGAGGGTACCAACACCAAGGAAAAAGCAAGTCAATAATCATATCCCAACAAAACCAACAGGAGAAAATCACATACACATAATTCCACCTACAACAAACCTAACAGAAACTAACAATCATGTGTGCCTAGTATCTCTCAATATAAAATGAATCACTTCTTCCAATAAAAAGACTTATGCTAACAGACTGGATATGCAAGCAGGATCTAGAATTTTGCTGCATACAAGAAACACACTTCAAAGACAAAGACAGATACTACCTGAGAGTTAAAAGCTGGGGGGGAAAAAGCCTTCCAAGCAAATGGTCTAAAGAAACAAGTAGGAGTTGCCATCCTAGCATCAAATAAAATAGACTTTCAACTAAAAGTTATCAAGTGAGATAGGGAAGGATACTTCATATGTATTAAAGGAAAATTTTACCAAGAGAAAGTCTCAATTCTGAACATCTATGCCCTAAATGCAAGAGCCCACATTCATAAAAGTAACTTTAGTAAAACTCAAAACACACATTGAACCCCATAGTGGGTTCAACAGTTCATAGAATAGTGGGAGACTTCAACATGCCACTCTCACAAATGGACAGGTATTGAAACAGAAACTCAACAGAGACACAGTGAAACTAATAGAGGTTATGAACCAAATGGATTTAACAGATATATACAGAACATTTCACCCTAAAACAAAAGATTATACCTTCTTCTCAGCACCTCATGGATCGTTCTCCAAAACTGACCATAAAATTGGTCACAATACATGCATCAATGAATACAAGAAGACTAAAATAATCCCGTGTATCCCATCAGATCACCATGGACTAAGCCTGGACTTCAATAACAACAAAAACAACAGAAAGCCCACATACACATGGAAGCTGAACAACTCTCTACTCAATGATAACTTGGTCAAGGAAGAAATAAAGAAAGAAATTAAAGACTTTTTAGAATTTAATGAAAATGAAGGCACAACATACTCAAACTTTGGGTCACAATGAAAGCAGTGCTAAGAGGAAAACTCATGGTGCTAAGTGCCTTTATTAAGAAGTTGGAGAGAGCAAAAAGAAAGGTAGATGACAGGAAATAATCAAACTCAGGGCTGAAATCAACCAAGTAGAAACAAAGAAAATGATACAATGAATCAATAAAACCAAAAGCTGGTTCTTTAAGAATATCACCAAGATAGATAAACCCCTAGACAAACTATCTAAAGGGAACAGACACAGTAGTCAAATTACCAAAATAAGAAATGAAAAGGGAGACATAGCAACAGAAACTGGTGAAATTCAAAAAATCATCAGATCCTACTACAAAAGCCTATACTGTACAACATTGGAAAATCTAGATGAAATAGATGATTTTCTAGACAAGCATCATGTACCAAAGTTAAATGGCAAGCAGATAAACCATCTAAACAGCCCATATCCCCTAAGGAAATAGAAGAAGTTATTTAAAAAATCTCCCAGCAACAACAACAGCAACAGCAATAACAAGAACATAATGCCCAGGGTCAGATGGCTTTTGTGCAGAATTCTACCAGAATGTCAAAGAAGAGCAAATAGCAACACTCCTCAAACTATTCCATAAAATAAAAACAAAATGAAAACTACCTAATTCATTCTATGATGCTACAATTACTCTGATATCTAAAACACACAGAGATCAAACAAAGAGACCTTCAGACCAGTTTTGCTTATGAATATTGATACAAAAATAATCAATAAAATTCCAGCAAATTGAATCCAAGAACACATCAAAATGGTTATTTACCACAATGAAGTAGGCTTCATTCCAGGGATGCAAGGTTGGTTCAATATATGAAAATGCATTAATGTAATCCACTATATAAACACACTCAAAGCAAAAAAAAAATCATATGATCATCCTTTTTTGTGCTGAAAAATCATTTGACAAAAATACAACACTTCTTCATGTTAAAAGTATTATAGATATCAGGAATTCAAGGCTCACACCTAAACATAATAAAAGCAGCATACGGAAAACAAATTATCAATATCAAGTTAAATGGAGAGATTCTTGAAACAATCCCACTAAAATCAGGGAAAAGACAAGAATGCTCACTCTTCCCATACCTGTTTAATATAGTGCTCTAAGTTCTACCCAAAGCAGTAAGACAACACCAAAAAAGAACATGGTGATACAAATTGGTAAAGAAGAATTCAAGGTATCACTTTTTGCAAATGATATGATAGTATACATAAGCAACCACAAAAGTTCTACCAGAGAATTTCTACAGCCTATAAACAACTTCAGCAAAGTGAATGGATATAAACGTAGCTCAAACAAATTGGTAGCCTTTCTTTATGCAAATAAAAAATGGGCTGAGAAAGAAAATAGGGAAACAACACCCTTCAGAATAGTCTCAATATAAAATACCTTGGGGTAACTCTAAGCAAACAAGTAAAAGATCTGTATGACAAGAAATTTCAGTCTTTCAAGAAAGAAATAGAAGAATATTTCAGAAAATGGAGAGATCTCCCCTGATCATGAATTGGTAGGATTAATATAGTAAAAATGGCCATCTTACCAAAATCAATCTATAGATTCACTGCAATCCTCATCAAAATTCCAACCCAGTTCTTCAAAAACATGGAAAGAGCAATTGTCAATTTCCAGGATAAAACCCAGGATAGTGAAACAATTCTTAACAACAAAAATACTTCTGAGGGAATCACCATCCCTGATCTCAAGCTATACTTCAAAGTAATAAAAACTGCATAAGTTGGCACAGAGACAGACAGGTTGATCAATGGAATAGAATTGAAGAGCCAGGAATAAAACCACACACCTATGAACACTTGACCTTGGACGAAAAAAAAAGCCAAAAATATACAATGGAAAAAAGAAAGCATCTTTAATAAATGGTGCTGGTCTAACTGGCAATCACTGTATAGAAAAATGAAAATATATCCATATTTGTCAACTTTCACAAAGCTCAAGCCCAAGTGGATCAAAGACCTCAACATAAAACCAGATACACTGAATCTAATAAAAGGGAAGTTAGAAAAGAGCTACAAACTCAGGGGCACAGGAGTAAATTTCCTAAACTGGACACCAATAGCTCATGCTCTAAGACTAAGAATTGATAAATGAGACCTCATGAAACTGAAAAGTTTCTGTAAGTCAAAGGACATAGTCAACAGGGCAAATTGGTAACATACAGATTGGGAAAAAAATCTTCACTAACCTCATATCTGATAGAGGGCTAATTTGCAAACTATATGAAGAACTCAAGAAGCTAACCTCCAAAAAAAACCAAACAACCCAATCAAAAATGGGGTATACAGAAACTGAAGAAATTAAAAATATCATCAGATCCTACTACAAAGGCCTATACTCAACAAAACTGGAAAACCTGGATGAAATGGACAACTTCCTAGACAGATACCAGGTACCGAAGTTAAACCAGGAGCAGATAAACCATCTAAATAGTCCCATAACCCCTCAGGAAATAGCAGCAGTCATTAAAAGTCTCCCCACTAAAAAAAGCCCAGGACCAGATGGTTTTAGTGCTGAATTCTATCAGACCTTCAAGGAAGACCTAATACCAATTCTCTTCAAACTATTCGACAAAATAGAGACAGAAGGAACACTACCCAATTCGTTCTATGAAGCTACAATTACACTCATACCCAAACCAGACAAGGACCCGACAAAGAAAGAGAACTTCAGACCAATCTCCCTTATGAACATCGATGCAAAAATACTCAATAAAATTCTAGCAAACCGAATCCAAGAACACATCAAAACAATCATCCATCATGCTCAAGTAGGTTTTATCCCAGGAATGCAGGGATGGTTGAATATTCGGAAAGCCATCAATGTAATCCACTATATAAACAAACTTAAAGAAAAAAAACCACATGATCATCTCACTAGACGCTGAGAAAGCATTTGACAAAATTCAACATCCCTTCATGATAAAAGTCTTGGAAAGATCAGGAATTCAAGGCCCCTACCTAAACATAGTAAAAGCAATTTACAGGAAACCAGTAGCCAACATCAAGCTAAATGGAGAGAAACTTGAAGCAATCGCACTAAGATCAAGGCCTAGACAAGGATGCACACTCTCCCCCTACCTATTCAATATAGTACTGGAAGTCCTAGCCAGAGCAATTAGACAACAAAAAGAAGTCAAAGGGATACAAATAGGAAAGGAAGAAGTCAAAATATCGCTATTTGCAGATGATATGATAGTATACTTAAGTGACCCCCAAACTTCCACCAGAAAACTCCTAAACCTGATAAACAACTTCAGCAAAGTGGCTGGTTATAAAATCAACTCAAACAAATCAGTAGCCTTCCTCTACATGAAAGATAAACAGACTGAAAAAGAAATTAGGGAAATGACACCTTTCACAATAGTTGCAAATAATATAAAATACCTTGGTGTGAATCTAACCAAGCAAGTGAAAGACCTGTATGACAAGAACTTCAAGTCTCTGAAGAAAGAAATTGAAGAAGATCTCAGAAGATGGAAAGATCTCCCATGCTCATGGATTGGCAGGATTAATATAATAAAAATGGCCATCTTGCCAAAAGCAATCTACAGATTCAATGTAATCCCCATTAAAATCCCAACTCAATTCTTCTCAGAATTAGAAAAGGAAATTCTCAAATTCATATGGAATAACAAAAAACCCAGGATAGCGAAAACTATTCTGAACAATAAAAGAACTTCTGGAAGAATAACCATCCCTGACCTCAAGCTGTACTACAGAGCAGTAGTGATAAAAACTACCTGGTATTGGTACAGAGACAGGCAGGAAGATCAATGGAATAGAATTGAAGACCCAGAAATGAACCCACACTCCTATGATCACTTGATCTTTGACAAAGGAGCTAAAACTGTCCAGTGGAAAAAGGACAGCATTTTCAACAAATGGTGCTGGTTCAACTGGAGGACAAAATGTAGAACAATGAAAATTGATCCAGTCTTATCCCCTTGT